GAATAGGAGATGTCTTTCCATTTTCTAATGTTCTCTCAGTCTCTTTTATTGGAGTACTGTAACTTTCATTATAGAGGTTTTTCACTTCCTTGTCTTGGTTAATTTGTAGGCATTTCATTATTTTTGAAGCCACAAAGAGTGGGATTATTTTCCTGATTTCTTTCTTGATGTGTTCATTATTGATATACAAAGATGCTACTGATTTTTGTGTGTCGAATTTATAACCTACCACTTTGCTGAATTTATTTATTAGCTCTAAGTGACTTCTGTTGGAATTTTTGGGTCTTCTATGTAATGGATCATATCATCTACAAATAAATAGAGTTTGAATTCTTCCTTTCCTATATGTACCCCTCTTTTTGCTTTCTCTTTCCTGGTTTTTATGGATAGGATTGTGAGTATTATATTGAATAGGAGTGTTGACAGTAAACATTCTGGTTTTATTCCTAACTTTAGAGGGAATGATTTTTAGTTTTTTCCCATTTAGTCCGATATTAGTTGTGGGTTTTTCTTATGCAGCTTTTATCAGCTTGAGGTGGTGTCTTTCTATGCCTATTTTTATAAGTTTTTTAAATCATTAATTGGATGTTGTGTTTTATCAAAGGCTGTTTCTGTTTTGAGGTGATCATATGATTTTTATCCTTACTTCTAGTTATGTGGCATATTACATTTACTGATGTAGGTATATAGTACCATCCTTGCAGCCCTGAGATGAAGCTGATTTGGTCATGCCATATGATCTTCTTAATGATTTATGGCATTTTACTTAAAAGTATCTTTTTTGAGGAATTTTGCATCTATATTCATTAAGGATATTGACCTATAGTTTTATCTTTTTTTTGAGCCCTTGTCTGGTTTTGACATCAGAGTAATGCTGACTTTAGGGAATGAGTTTGGCAGCATTCCTTCCCTGCCAATGTCATGGAAGAATTTAAGAAGTTAATCCCTCTTTGAAGTTCTGATATAATTTAGCTGGTGAATCAGCTGGGCCCTGGGTTGTGTTAGTTGGTCACTTTTACTACTGCTGCAATATTATTGCCTGTCATTGGTCCATAAGGGGTTTTTATATCTTCTTGGTTCAACTTTAGCAATTCATATGTGACCAGGAATTTACCCATTCTTTTAGGTTCTCCAATGTATTGGAATGAATTTTTTGAAACAATTTCTTCTAGTCGTCTGGATTTCAGTGAGGGCCACTGTGATTTTTGCCTTTTTCATTTCTAACTACATGGATATGAGCCTTTTCCTTCCTTCTTTTAGTAAGTTTGGCTAAGGATTTATTGATCTTATTTATCCTTTTAAAGAACCAATTCTTTGATTCATTTATTCTTTGTATTATTTTTTAGTCAAACTTCATTGATTTCTCCCCTGATCTTCATAATTTCTTTCCTTCTACAAGCTTTGAATTTATATTGCTCCATTTTTTGTCTGTGGCTTTGAGATGCTTCATTAGGTTATTTGTTTGCAGTTGCTTTGTTCTTCTATTATAGGCATTCATAGCTGTAAGCTTCCCTCTGAGAACCACTTCTCTAGTGCCCTACAGGTTTTGACATGTTGTACTGCTGTTGTCATTTGATACTAAAAATTTAAATTTTTCCCTGATATCCTCTGTGACCTACTGATTATTCAAGATTGTATTGTTTAATCTCCATGGGTTTGTATAATTTCTGTGGTTTCTTCTGCTGTAACTTTGTAGTTTTACCTCATTGTAAGCT